TCTGGTACCTTGACTGTAAGTGCGTGTATCTTGTGGTCAATTAGCACGAACATTCTAACTTCACCGGGAATATCGGTTTCCTTGAGCTGTAAAATTTGCCAAGTTTTGACATAAACAAGCTCAGCCTGATTCCGGAAGAAGTTACCAATTACATTAGTAGTCGTGCTTGTTCTCTCACCAAAGAGCTTGCGGCGGCGGATTCGAGCCTGTTTTTGGATTTTCCATTTCTGTTTCTGGTACTTTAGCCAGCTTTCATAGTCTTCAGTAATAGATGGCATTGTGGCTGGAAGGCTAGCGAATGGATCCAATTGACTTGTTGAATTCTCAAGCACCTTTCGTTTCTGTGAGCCTTTATTGACTATGTTATACCTATGTTTTTGCGTCGACTGCGACACCATATCTTCGATATCTCCGCTGGCTGGTAAACGATGATCCATTATATTGGTTGGTAGATCGGATAACGGAGTTTTTTCGAAGAGTTCAGTCATTTTTTTTTGTTTGAATTTGTCGTCTTTGATATTTATTCGCCGTTGGAGCCATTCTGGGTGAGGAACTCGCGGAACTGGATTTCGGATTTTTTGGAGAGCGGCGGGAATGGTTATGAGCTTTTGAACCACAGAACCTAATCTTTCAAGATAGTAGTCCCAGTCAATGATTGTACGCGGATCCATATCTCCGGGATCATCCTTTAACCATTTCCGGAGGAAAAAACGTTTAACGCTATACTCAGCGGAAAATATAGCAACGGGTATGGCGCGATCAGTGATAGGGGAGGTCCTTGGCTTTGAAGATATGATATATTTGCAGTTCAGACCCTTGTCTTTCACCATCTGATCTCCCAAAAATTCTGCGAGTCTTTTCGCTGTTGTGATTGATGTGGACTTCTGGGTTCCATATTCCTCCAGTGTTTTCGACATACTTCTGTTTTCGCAAATCAAGTCGATGAGTTCCTCGTCCGCCAAGGTTGTTCCATGCATATGTAGAACATCAAGCCATCTGTTCGCAACCTCTGCAACAGCTGCATAAGTTTCAGTAAGAGTTGTCCCTTCCAGGAAGAACTTGAAAATCTGGGTTTGAAAGATTTTGATCAGTTTCAGCTCGCCTCTTCGCTTGACCTCGAAGCCTTTAAGCTCAGCAAGTGAACCGTCATGATTGAAAACGGCATATCTTTTTTTAAGATTCTTGTCTTCCTCTTTCGATGTTGGAAGAATCATAGCTCTGTAAGGGCCATCTACCTCGAAAAAGATAGAGTTGTCGCTATGGGTTTCGTATCTGAAAGTTTTCGGGTCCACGAGCGTTTTGGTACTGGTGATTGGTAAATCGCCCGTGGACAAGATGGTTGAGCATGACGCAAGGGTACGATATTGGCAACTTCTTCTCCATTTTTTAAAGTGAATGCAAAATTTTCCGGAAATGTTCCCGGAAGCATACACCAAATGCCGTCCGGTATCGAGTTCCATTGGGCGGCCCATTCCGTTCTACCAATTCCTTAGGCATCTGGATAATATGAGCACCAGTAAGGCATGTCACACCCTGCCATTTCCATTGAGTACCAGCGTGAACCTTTTCGCATGACATATCCATAAAAACTGTTCAAGATGACTTATGTGCCAGCTGGAGGGAATCAAAAAGGATAATCATTTTTTTGGCCTCCTCGATTTCTACTGCGGGAGCTCCTGCAGCCTTTAACGAGTCTGTTTTGACCTTCCAGACTTTTTGTTGACCCTTAAAATCATATCGCCGGTCTCTGAAGCTTCGCACTGTATCAACGTAAAAAGGATTTTCCCGCTGACAGATGATGGCCTCCCGCTGAACGGTTTTGCTCTCGTAGATTCTGTGATAGATCTTTTTGCTGTAGTCTTGCAACCGCTTCTTTACAATGGTGGCTTGTTCGCTCGTGCTGAGTTCTTCGAACGCCCTCATCGGGCTCTTTTTCGTCTTCCCCGGGAATTTCTCGTTCGCCACAGCACGTCGAATCATATTGTATTCATCCCGCTTTGCGGGAATATATTCACCTCTCCAAGACCAAGGCATACGTCGATCACATGTTTTCCCTGGTCGATTGAAATCACAGACCGCACAGTCCGATTCTTGTATCATGGAGTCTGGTTGGAGACGGTTGGTGGTCATGATGTTAGGATACATGGATGCAACGTCTAAGTGGTATATCGAGGGTTTCTCGTTCCTATTCGGGGTCTCCTTTAAATTGAGCAACTTTTTAGCAATCTGAGCTTTAACCTTGTCGTAATTGATAACATCATCCAGGGCCTTTTTCTCCTCCACAACAATACTAAACTTTAGAGCGGCATCAAGGTCGTGGAGTAGTTCGTCAATGGCAGCTGGATCGACTGTGAAATTAACTGGAATATCACTCCTGAAAACGCCGGCTTCGATACTTTCCACATGACCTCCGACATATGTTTGAGAATCAAGCAAATGGCCGTTCCAGAACGCTTCGGGTGGCTCTGTGTGTTTGTTTGGCAAGATAATGTTTCCCCTGTATGCCTGTACCATAAGCAACATCTCACAGAGTGTTCCCGTGCCCTTACGGAGAACATCGTCAGGGTTAAGAGGAATAATCGTACAGAGCGAAAAAATAAACGGATGGATGTATTTCATGTAGAGGTAATATGTTGCCACGGCATCAGAAACTGAGTATTCAGCCAAAGTCTGGGGACGTTCGCTCGCGTATCTCGTCATGACCTCGGGATCAAGCTCGTCTGGATCATAGCCCAGTTTTGCCACGGTCACAGCTTTTAGACCTCGACTTCCTTGTGGGAGGTAGCTGTCTCGATTGACCCATGCAAAGCAATCCATATGAACGCAGTAATTGCTTTGGTAGATATCTTCACTATTCTTCCGAAACCCAATCTCAGCGTACATGTCAATCCCTTGTACGCTAGCTCGAGCCTCAACGAATGCCCAGTCAAAGAAGTCACCGTTGTAAGTTGCGATTACAGTAGGTTTCGCCTCTTTAATATGGGCGAAGAAACGTTCGATGACCCTTTTTTCATCTGGTTCATTAAAAATGGTAAAGGGTCCGTCATATTCTGGTTTCGGCGTATACTCGAAATCGGCAATATCTTCAGAGACGATTTCTCTATTCGTTATGAGAAACCCTTGTCCATCAATCATGTATGATATCATCATTATTTGGTCGATGACCGGATCCGGGAATTTCAAGGGCAGTTTGGTCGTCTCAATATCATAAGCCAGGACAACAGGATCCGCTCGCTTGAGACGGTCCTCAATACAGCTTAAAGAAATAACTCCGTTCTTGGACTGGACTGAATACCATTTCCCGATCCGAATATCTATTGGTGGATGTGAGTCAAACTCAGTATAACAAAAGCAGACAGGTGAAACATACCTTTATCAATGGAAACTCGAACGTGGTATGGAACATCATATTCTCGAATATCAACGATGTACTCGCTAGCGTCTATAAATGCTTTCTGGGGCCTATCATTAACCTCTTCATCGAAAAGATCAAATCCAACATTTGAGCTAAATCGGTCCAGTTAGCGAACGACAAAGCCAGCCACTGTTGCATAGAGACACAAACCTAGCCATCTCCGCATAGGTGTCCATAGCATTCACATTCTTCTTATTTTTCTGCGCAATTGGTAATATCGACTTCCGAACCCCCAGCAAGTCTCCAACATTAGCAAAGCTAAGTTGCAGGAACCTCCGCTTGTGACCGAGGAGATGATTCGGCATCTGCAGATCCTCTTTCTCAACCTGTTTGACACTTTTCACCATACCT